TTTATGTATATATGCTGTATGGCTGCAACACTTATCTTTGTTCATATTTCTATGTGTGCAGACACGGAAGTAGGTCTATAGGACAAAGTCTTAGGAGGAATTCATGAAATTCTGAATGTACGTTAGGTGTGATTTGTGAGGCACCATTCTCTAAGAGGGACTTTACCTGTGTCCTTTGAAAGTGGGTGTATTAGTCTGTTTCCATCACTATAAAGGAATGCCTGAGACTGGGTAATTTATAAAGGCAAGAGGTTTATTTTGGCGCACGGTTCTGCAGGCTGTACAGTAAGCATGATGCTGGCATCTGCTTCTGGTAACGGCCTCAGGAAGCTTACAATCATCGTGGAAGCTGAAGAGGGAGTTGATGTATCACATGGCGAGAGAGAGAGAGAGAGAGAGAGAGAGAGAGAGAGAGAGCAAGAGAGGAGGAAGTGCCAGACTCCTTTAACCAACCAGCTTCCATGAACTAACAGAATGAGAATTCATTCATTACCATCTGGAGGGCACCAAGTCGTTCCTAAGGGATCTACCCCTGTGACCAAAATGTCTCCGGCCAGGCCCCACCTCCAACACTGGGGATCACACTTCAACAGGAGACTTGGAGGAGACACACACCAAACCATATTAGTTTGCAACTCAGATTTTAGTGGCGTTTATCATATTTGGGGCCCTTCTTAACAACACCTGGAAGTCTCTGAAAATTGTGGGGTTTTTTTCTATCTTTTTATATGATATTGTTAAATTGGTCATTCAAAAAGACACAAAAAATTACTACTGTACTGCAATTCTGTAATTAATAAACTAGGTACAATTTATTATACCTCCTGGATATTGGTGGCATCCCACTCGGTTTACCCTAGGAATGAGCCACATATGGACCTGTGCAGAAGATGGTTTTTTGTTTGTTCGTTTGTTTGTTTTGAGATGGAGTCTCGTGTTGTCGCCCAGGCTGGAATGCAGTCGCACGATCTCAGCTCACTGCAACCTCTGCCTCCCAGGTTCAAGCGATTCTCTTGCCTCAGCCTCCTGAGTAGCTGGGATTACAGGTGCCCGCCACCATGCCTGGCTAATTTCTGTATTTTTAGTAGAGACGAGTTTTTACCATGTTGGTCAAGCTGGTGTTGATCTCCTGACCTCGTGATCTGCCCGCCTCAGCCTCCCAAAGTGCTCGGATTACAGGTGTGAGCCATGGTGCCCAGTCAGAAGATGTTTTTTAGCACAGCACAGGTTCCGCCATTCATGTTATTCAGGAGCAGTCTAGATCCTAAAGTGAGGGGCTGCAATTAAAGACTGAGTAAAAACTGGCAGAGCAGTTTGCTGCATGGAACACTGCTGAGAGTGGGATCTTCTGCTTGTTTCTTACAGATAATAGCAATATTAGTACTTTGCTTAGCTTATAATAAGCATTCAGTCAGTGTTAACTAAGCATTTTATGTGCATTATATCATCTGTCATTACCACAATCCTATGAGGTAGGGCTGTGAAAATCCTGTTTGATAAATACACAAACCTTTGTCACAGATAATATACCTAGTGAATGGCAAAGTTGGAATTTGAACCCTGGCTGTCTGACTTCATAGATCGGACAAAGGACATGTTTTCGTCTACATCAGACATTGGCCCCAAAATGGCACACCTCTGCACGTTCAACAGCAGTGGCAGCATTTTCAGCAAACACTGGCATCACAGCTGCTGCTTTGCAGACTGGAAGTGATCTGAGTCATATCTAATAACAAGAACTAGACCCAGTTGCTCATGAAAAATAGTCTCTAGTCCCTCCTAGAACAATTCTGGAAGGCTATGGGAAAATCGGAGTTCCCAGAGGATAGAAGGAGCAGATCTGGGGTTATACACATTTGTGGCTGCCTTTGCCCATAGTTTTGCCCAAGGCCTGGCTTTCCTAAGGGTACATATGTATACAGGTACAGCTCCTGATGCATGTGAAAACCAAGACACGTAGACCATACGTGACTACAAGGGTGTTGACTCTCAACACTTTCTCAGTCGGGTATTGGAAAAACTGGTAGCTGAAATAAGATAAACAGCTCTGTACTTGTTCCCTTTATTGTCCTGGCTCTGATTCACCTGCTGATCCTTTGAAACTCTCATACCAGTTTATATCCCAGGCTGAGCCATACAGCTTCAAACCAGGTTGGGAATTTCCTGATATGGGGTTAAATATAGAAACTGTGTAGAATTCTCAGGTTCTGTCTACAGCTGTTCAAAGTTCAGTGAAACACTCACTACATCATGCCTAATTATCTATATATATCTACATCTATTTGTTACAGTTCACTCTGTGTGCTTGGCAGGATTCCTCTTTTGCACTCAGCAAAAGGTCTTTTCCTTTTCACTGATAGAGAATTTTTAGTTTCGATTTTTTTGATGTCTTGCTTTTGAAAGAATGTTCCAGGACTGAGTGCTTTATGAGGGCCCTTTCCTACTATGTAAAAGCAGTTTACTTCAAAGTTATTTGGGGAATTATTCAATGTCAGTACCTTATGTCTATACCAGCCCCATTGTTTATAATTATTACATAGCCTGATGCAAGAAACACATTTGCATGCCAACAGAAAATTATTAGCAATGAGGATTTGGAGTTTGATTGGTTTAGGTTCTAATCCAAAACCCTGTTCTTCTGAACCTTGGACAAACTAACTTCTCTAATACTCAATTTTCTTCACTTTAAAGTTACGATTAAATGACAAACTGCAACAATTCCAAAAAGATCCCCCCCTTTCTTTTACGTGTTGGAAATACTTACAAGGAGACTGTTCTATATTTTATTTATGTATTAAGATCTTTTCTTGGCTGGGCGCGGTGGCTCACGCACGCCTGTAATCCCAGCACTTTGGGAGGCCAAGGCGGACGGATCACCTGAGGTCAGGAGTTCGAGACCAGCCTGGTCAAAATGGAGAAACCCCGTCTCTACTGAAAGTACAAAAATTAGCCAGGTGTGGTAGCACATGCCTGTAATCCCAGCTACTCGGGAGGCTGAGGCAGGAGAATAGCTTGAACCTGGGGTGGGCCAGAGGTTGCAGTGAGCCAATATTGTGCCACTGCACTCCAGCCTGGGTGACAGAGCGAGATTCCATCTCAAAAACAACAGCAGCAACAACAACAAAACTTTCCTCTTTGGGGAAAGTAGTGTTGGAAAATAAAATTTTCGAGGCTGTTAGAAAACTTTAGCTTCCCTGAAATTTACAAATCTTTGTGTTCTTTGAGTACCAGTTGCTTCTGACAAAAGTTTTAAAATTTAAATTTACTCGGAGATTTTATTATCAGGTAATTTTCAGTCTGGCAATGATTTTCTCAAAACATAGACTTCTTGAATATTTTGGCATTTAAAAAAATACATGAGAATATGAGGTGGTTTTCGTTTGTTTGTTTGTTTTGTTTTGTTTTGTTTTTTGATGATGCCTTGCTCTGTCACCCAGGATGGAGTGCCGTGGCACGATCTCAGCTCACTGCAACCTCCGTCTCCCGGGTTCAAGCGATTTTCCTGCCTCAACCTCCTGAGTAGCTGGGATTATAAGCACCCACCACCATGCCTGGCTAATTTTTGTATTTTTAGTAGAGATGGGGTTTCACCATGTCAGCTAGGCTGGTCTTGAACTCCTAACCTCAGGTGATCCACTCGCCTCGGCCTCCAAAGGTGCTGGGATTAGAGGTGTGAGCTACTGTGCTCAGCCTGAGAAATTTATTTAAAAGACAGAGACGGGCCAGGCATGGTGGCTCATACCTGTAATCCCAGCACTTTGGGAGGCCGAGATGAGCGGATCACCTGAGGACAGAGTTTGAGACCAGCCTGACCGACATGGAGAAACCCCGTCTCTACTAAAAATACAAAATTAGCCAAGTGTGGTGGCGCCTGCCTGTAATCCCAGTTACTCGGGGGGCTGAGGCGGGAGAATCGCTTGGATCTAGGAGGTGGAGGTTGCGGTGAGCCGAGATCACGTCATTGCACTCCAGCCTGGACAACAGGATCGAAACTCTTGAACTCAAAGAAAAAAAACAAAACAAAACAGAGATGGTGATTTAAGAACTAATGGCAGGTTGAGCGTGGTGGCTTACACCTGTAATCCCAACATTTTGGGAGGCAGAGGCAGTAGGAACACTTTAGCTCAGGAGTTTGAGATTAGCCTGGGCAGCAAAGTGAAATGTCATCTCTACTAAAAATCAAAAAAATTACCTGGGCATGGTGGCACGTGCCTGTAGTCTAAGCTACTCAGGAGGCTGAGGCAGGAGGGTCGCTTGAGCCCAGGAGTTAGAGGCTGCAGTGAGCTATGATCATGCCACTGCACTCCAGCCTGGACAACAGAGCAAGACTCTATCTAAAAAAAGGAAAAGAAAAGAAAAGAAACAAGAAAAAGAGAAAGAAAGCACTAAGAGCAGATATATTTTTATTGTGGTAATATATACATAACATAACATTCAGCCTGGACAGCATAGTGAGACCCCATTTCTACAAACAATCACTGAAACAAAGAAACCCAGCCAGGTGTGGTGGTACATGCTTTAGTCCCAGCTACTTGGGAGGCTGAGGTAGGAGGATCACTTGAGCCCAGGAAGTTGAGGCTGCAGTGAGCTATGATTGAACCACTGTACTCTAGCCTGGGTGACAGAATGCAACTCTACCTCTAAAAAAATATATACCACATAAAATCTACCATATACCATTTTAATCATTTTAAAATCTGTAGTTCAGTGGCAAGTGGCATTAAGTACATTCACATTGTTATGCAACCATCACCACCATCTATCCTCAGAACTTATTTTATCCTCTCAAACTGAAATTCCACACCTGTTAAACAATAATTCCTCGTGCCTCCCTTCCCCCAGCCCCTGGCAACTATTTGATTTTCTAATGGCAGATAATTTTAAAGACAAAACAAATACGATGGTGTTTCCATAGCTGGTGGCAAGACTTGTATTTCTGCCCCAGGTCTGTGTCATTGCTAAACTATCCCACTGAAATATTAATTCAATTTCTTCACAAGGATATTGCAGAGGAATGCCCAGTTTGACCGGATCACCTGGGACCAGCCAGTGCTGGGCAGCCCCCAGTCCCTTGGTAGGTACTGTCAGGGACTGGGCCACCTGGCTGCAACCCCACCAGCTTCTGCTGCTTTTGAGAAATCAGTCCTGGACAGGTGCATTGCCTCACACCTATAATCCCAATGGCTTGAGACCAAGAGTTCAATACCGGCCTGGGCAACATAGAAAGACCCCATTTCTACAGAAAATTTAAAAATTAGCCAGGCAGGTGAGGCATGGTGGCTCACACCTGTAATCACCCCACTTTGGCAGGCCAAGGTGGGAGGATCATTTGAGACCATCCTGGGCAACATGGTGAAACACAATCTCTACAAAAAATACAAAAATTAGCTGGGTATGGTGGCATGCACCTGTAGTCTCAGCTACTTGGGAGGCTGAGGTGGGACGATCACTGGAGCCTGGGAGGGCAAGGCTGCAGTGAACTGTGATGGAGCCACTACACTCCAGCCTGGGTGATAGAAAGAAACCCTGTCTAAAACAAAACAAAAAAACCGGCATGGTGGTGTGCACCTGTAGCCCCGGCTACTGGGGAGGCTGAGGTGGGAGGATAGCTTAAGCCTAGGAGTTTGAGGCTGCAGTGAGCTATAATCATTGTCTGTGGTGCACAGTGAGATACTGTCTCAAGAATAAGTACATACATACATACATACATACATACATACATACATACATAAATGAAAGAAAAGAAAAAGAAAAAAACAGAATCAATCAGTCTCAGTCTTGGTATCTTGTCAGCCTCCGACTCTTTCAAGCCTTGAATTTCAGGCGGAGGACTCCAGCGGGTTTAATACCCATCTGCCAATGTCAGCTCAGTTTCCATTCCACCAGGAATTTACTATTCAGCAACCCAACCCTGTTTCCTTCAGCCCAAACAATGACCTAGTAAAGGCATACCAGACCTTGGGTGCGTATCTGTAAAATGAAGAGGGTGAATTAGGTAATCTCAAAGATATTTTGCAGCCCTGAAGTTGCTACTCTCTGTTTAAGAAAAACAAATAGTGATCGTAATGTAATAGGCTAGATAAGATTTTTCTGTAAAAACTCCCTCTCTTACTAGCATTTGTCATGTTGTGATGTAAATACAAATGCTGAAAGCATTATGTTTGGTTTGAAAGTTCAACTACTGGTCAGCAAAGGGTTAATTGTAAGTCAACACAGGATTGGGGGTTTGGAAACGTAAGAATTCAGAAGAAAAGATAATCCGTTAGTCAGTACAAAGAATTTCATATCCTGAATATAATCCTGAAAAAATTGAATATCTAGGGGCCTTTGACAGACTATTTTTTTTTCTTTTTTTTTTGAGACGGAGTCTCGCTCTGTTGCCCAGGCCGGAGTGCAGTGGCCGGATCTCAGCTCACTGCAAGCTCCGCCTCCCGGGTTTACGCCATTGACTATTTTTTTTCTTTGCATGAAACAGTTCTGACTTTCACTCTAATGCAGCCTTAGTCTGGTTGAAGGCAAGTAGCTTGCTATTTGATAGGGCTATTTGCATTTCAAAGCTAATCAGTATTAAATAATCGGTTGGCAAAAGAAGAGTAAGAAGGTCATTGTGTGTATTTTATTATTGTGTAAACTTGGGAAAACAAGTTGAGAGTCTGAGAAAGCTCAAATTCTAACAGATAAGAAAGTGTTTTGTGTAAAAGGCTTCTTAATGAGTGAGTTACTCTTCATTTCTCTGACTTCCGCAGAGTCAGGAGGATCACGTGACAGCTAGGCTTTATAAGGAAGTAAAAACAACTGGTGAAGAGAAAAACCATTTATTTTCAATACTGAAGGTAAAAGAACTTCTTAAATATTTCGCTTTTATTCCTCTGTAACTTTTGAGAACATTTAATAGTTTTAATTAATTAATATTTAATATTAAAGTATACTATTTTATTGGCCAATTCATATCAAACTTGATTATAACTCTAATTCAGTGGTGGTTAACCCTGGCACGTTAGAATCACCAAGAGAAAGGAAAAATATTGATGCTGGTTCTTGCCCCAGAGAGTTGATGTAATTAATTTGGGGTGTGGTCTGGTCATCAGTATTTTCTAATAATTCCCAGGGGATTCTCCTGGGTTGAAAGTTGAGAACCGTCGGGGCGCAGTGGCTCATGCCCATAATCCCAGCACTTTGGGAGGCTGAGACAGGTGGATCACAAGGTCAGGAGTTCGAGACCAGCCTGGCCAAGATGGTGAAACCCTATCTCTACAAAAAATACAAAAATTACCCAGGTGTGGTGGTGGACGCCTGTAATCCCAGCTACTCGTGAGGCTGAGGCATGAGAATCGCTTGAACCCAGGAGGCAGAGGTTGCAGGGAGCCAAGATTGTGCCACTGCACTCCAGCCTGGGTGACAGAGCAAGACTGTCTCAAAAAAAAAAAAAAAAAAAGAAAGAAAAAAAAAGAAAGAAGAAAGCTGAGAACTATTATCCATTATTATAATTTATATTGTGAGCATATCCTCCTCTGCAAAATAAGGCCTCAATGACTCTCCCACTGTTTATAGTATGGTCTTGAATTTTAAATGCAACTTTAAATTGGTTTAAAAAAATAAATAAAAATTAGAGGTGCAGCGACTCCCGCCTATATAATGCCAGCACTTTGAGAGGCCAAGACAGGAGGATTGCTTGAGCCCAGGAGTTTGAGTCCAGCCTGGGCAACATAGTGAGACCCTGTCTCTACAAAAATTAAGAAATTAGCCAGTCATGGTAGCCTGTGCCTGTGGTCCCAGCTACTTGGGAGGCTGACATGGTAGGACTGCCTGAGCCCAGAAAGTTGAGGCTTTAGTGAGTCACTGCACTCCAGCCTGGATAACAGAATGAGGCTAAAAAAGAAAAAATTAGAGCACATACCAAAGTATATGTGTGTGTATATATGCATATATGTGTGTGTGTGTATATATATATACATATATATACACATATTATTACACACATATGTATTGAAATTGTTTAGATGTGTTATTTTTACCAATATGTTATCTGTATTACAAAACAGAAAAAAAGACATTTATAAAACTATGAATACTTAATAAATAATTTCTTCCTATACTCCTTATCATCCTTTTAGCCACTTCACTTTGGAAACAACTGTTCAATAAGATAAAGAATACATTCCAGGCTGGGCACGGTGGCTCATGCCTGTAATCCCAGCACTTTGGGAAGCCGAGGCGGGTGGATCACTTGAGGTCCCAAGTTTGAGACCAGCCTGGCCAACATGGTAAAACCCCATCTCTACTAAAATACAAAAATTAGCTAAACGTGGTGGTGCATGCCTGTAATCCCAGCTACTCGGGAGGCTGAGGCATGAGAATCACTTGGGCCTGGGATGTGGAAGTTGCAGTGAGCCAAGATCGCGCCACTGGCACTCCAGCCTGAGCAATAGAGCTAGACTCTGTCTCAAAAAATAAATAAATAAATAAATAAATTCCATATCATGGAGTTCAAAATTTTCTCTAGACAAAATTTCATCTCCTTTTATTGTTTTTTATTTTTTTGTTGCTTTTTTTTTTTTTTGAGACAGAGTCTCACTTTATTACCCAGGCTGGAGTGCAGTGGTGTGATCTCGGCTCACTGCAACCTCTGCCTCCTGGGTTCAATCAGTTCTCTGCTTCAGCCTCCCAAGTAGCTGGAATCACAGGCATCTGCCAGCATACCCAGCTAATTTTTGTATTTTTAGAAGAGACGGGTTTCACCATCTTGGCCAGGCTGGTCTTGAACTCCTGACCTCGTGATCCACCTGCTTCGGCCTCCCAAAGTGCTGGAATTAAAGGCGTGAGACATTGCACCCAGCCCGTTGCAGATGTTTTTAAATCATCGTTATATATTTTACTATCTTATGTCCACTTTCTGAGGGACTCTGAGATAAGAACTTACAGGTAGAAAGTTTATCCAGCAGTGAAGGACATAGGATTGGGCAAAAGTAATGCATTTCCAACAAAGCCCTTAGCCAGTCTCGCAAAGAGATAGGAGCTAGGCTGATCCTTGAGGTGAGGGGGTGAGGCTCCATATTCCCACCCCTCACCCAGACATTCAGTAGTTATTCGATGTGGGCTGCCCGTGGGTAAGGTGGTTCTCTTTCATCCTGGAGAGCCATTATCACCAACAGTCATTGGGGAAACGAATACCTCATTCTGAAGAGGGGCTCTGGGATGCTCACCATACATCCTTGTATTCCACTGCATTCCTTGCATTCAAGGGCTTAGCACAGGCTGTTCCTTACTCTGGAATATTTTACCCAAAATTTCACAGGCTAGGCTTCTGGTCTGGAAAAGCTCTCTCAAAGGATGGATAGCATTTAGATAGATGGTAAACTCGATTAGCAGTGAGCTGATCTGTTATACTTTTCTATCTTTCACACTGCTTAATACATACTAGGTCCTCAGTTCTAAAAATATGTTTATATTATTATATATTAATTACATATTTATGAGTAATTTCAATTAACATGCTGAGCAAGGCCAGGTGCGGTGGCTCACGCCTGTAATCACAACACTTTGGGAGGCCGAGGTGGGCGGATCGCCTGAGGTCAGGAGTTCGAGACCAGCCTGGCCAACATGGTGACACCCCAGCTCTACTAAAAATACAAAAATTAGCTGGGCGTGGTAGCAGGTACCTGTAATCCCAGCTACTTGGGAGGCTGAGACACGAGAATCACTTGAGGCAGACGTTGCAATGAGCCGAGATTGCGCCACTGCACTACAGCCTGGGCAACAGAGCGAGACCGTCTCAAAAAACACCGAAACCAAAACAAACAAACCAAAAAAATCATGCTGAGTGTATAAATCGAATTGCTAGAGAAGACTGGACAAAGATTTCAGGCTGGTAGCAGAGCTGGAGGGAAACAGAGGTGGCAGAACTCAAGACATGCTGGGGGTCAGAAAGAAAGTCCATTTGGTGGGAGAAGAGTGCGCTTTTACAGGAACAAAGTGGCCAAGAGGATTAGCAACAGAAGGTAGGTCTGGAGATTCTTGTAGACTTTAAATAATATATTTTAGGTTGTTCGTTGTATGAAATGAAGAACACATAAGATCTTGCTAAGGAAACACACTTCTAAGCATTGTTACTTCCAATCCCAGGACTTACATGGTTAAGTCTGAATTCCTCAACCAGACTTCCTTTCTTAAATGTTTCAAGTCTCTCTTCATCCCTTAATCTTCTTGTTTTCCCGTTCCTCTGACATCCCCACGTGGTCACTACACACCCTAGCAAATCCCCCAGTTGGAATTAATCTTCCCATATTCTCAAGGTACTCTGTTTCACCCATGGCTATAAACCCTGTTAGTTTGCCAGTTGACTGAGTTCTTTGAGTAGATGTCATCGCAGGCACCAGACTGCGTGCATACAGAAAGTGTGAGCAGTGTCTTACTCATCTTTGTCCACGCTCCTTCCAGCACTCAGTAGAGAGTGGTATTCAGGGAAGGTCATTTGAAATAGTGATTTCTTATTATAAACCAGTGAAAAGGCTGAACGTTGTTTCCTCTTATAAACTGACATTAATACACATTGCAAGTAGGCCAACATAAAAAAACTGCTTAATGGATGGTAAAAGGCACAGTTATATAAATTCCTCTGCTTGAAGAATTATTTCTACCTGAATCACAAGGTGTTTTCCATCTAACAAAAGGAGTTGTGTTAAGTCTTCGAAATGTTTGACAGGGGTGAAAAAAATTATGAGAAAGGTCAGCCACTATTAGGAAAAAAAGTTTTCCTACTGAGAGGAGAACCTGTCACAACTAGATTTTATGACCTTCCTGGCTTGGTTCTATTAAAGAAACACAAATTTTCTCTTGTCATAGTTTGATTTTTTTTTTTTTCTTTGAGACGGAGTCTCGCTCTGCCGCCCAGGCTGGAGTGCCAGTGGCGCAATCTCAGCTCACTGCAAGCTCCGCCTCCCGGGTTCACGCCATTCTCCTGCCTCAGCCTCCCGAGTAGCTGGGACTACAGGTGCCGCCACCACACCGGGCTAATATTTTGTATTTTTAGTAGAGACGGGGTTTCACCGTGTTACCCAGGATGGTCTCGATCTCCTGACCTCATGATCCACCCACCTTGGCCTCCCAAAGTACTGGGAATACAGGCGTGAGCCACCGTGCCCGGCCAGTTTGATTTTTTTTTTTAAGTGAAGGAATGGTTAGGATAATTATACATGGCATTTTGTGGATTACAAAAGTCATATTGTCAGCTGTGTTGGGTGCAGGACTGGACTTTATCCCTTTAGCTGATAAGCATTATCAACATTTACGAGACAGAAACCTTACATAGAAAGTCAGTATTTGTATTGCCTAGTTCTGTACCGTGCTTATGTTTGATTACTAAGTATGCTTTCATATCAGGAGCAGAGAGTCTCTGGACATGGAGGAAGCCACTAGACAAGGCCAATAAAAACATAAACCTGGGCTATTTTTAATGAATAACCAATAGGTATGAATGAGTAACAAGTGAACAGTAATCTGGCCGGGCGCAGTGAGTCATGTTTGTAATTCCAGCACTTTGGGAGGCTGAGACTGGCAGATCACCGGAGGTCAGGAGTTCAAGACCAGCCTGGCCAACATGGTGAAACCTCGTCTCTACTAAAAATACAAAAAAATTAGCTGGGCATGGTGGCGTGTGCCTGCAGTCCCAGCTACTTGGGAGGCTGAGGCAGGAGAATTGATTGAACCTGGGAGGCGGAGGTCGCAGTGAGCTGAGGTCATGCCACTGTACTCCAGCCTGGGTAACAGAGCGAGACTCCATCTCAAAACAAGCAAACATACAAACAAACAAATAAATATACAGTAATGTACTTGA